AGAGGGTTGGGGTCTGTGTGCGACACTCCGCCTTTGAGGGGGTTGCATCTTCTGCAGACGAAGCAGTGGGTCTATTTATATCCCCCCGACCCACTGGTTAGCTATCATTTTGGTACCAAAGAAAAAATGAGGAGTCATACAGAAGTATAAGCTTTTTTTTTCTCTGTAAGTGTTTTAAGGTGCTAGCAACTGCAAAAGGTCATAAGAGCACACGGGACACATTAAACATTTTCAGTTGGAAAGTAGTTTTGAATTATGTCCAGGTGGCGGCCACAGCCTACTCTTATCGATTTTGGACTACCAAAGGATCTTTAATGTACGTAACTTGCACACGAGACCTCTGAGATTTTTCACTCTTTTCAGAGTAGGCTACGTGTTAGATCTTACCTACCCTAAGATCAGGGGTTTGGCTGAAAGACAACAGTAAAATGGAGCCAAGAAGTAGCAGTAGAAAGGCTGCAGAAAGAATCAGGAGCCCAGGGGAGGGGGCCAAGGAGGTGAAGAGGTTGGGGCAGAAAATGGAGATGAAAGTAGATGACAGAATATGTTAGAGAGCAGGAGAGGATAAGAAAGGAAAAAGTTTTAGAGAAGAAAATTTTCCGTTGCTGTCTGGATTCAAACCCAGATGAGAATGAGAGGCGAAAGGGGTCGAACGAGCATCCTAAAGAATAAGTAAAAAGAGGGAACACAACAGACTAGAAATATGTAAATAAATATGACCTGGAACTGAGATCATATTACTGTAGCAGTCAAAAACAACACTGACTATTAATACAATTGCATTAATAGTAAGTGTTGTTTTTGACTGTATTAATAGTCATTGACTGTATTAATAGTCAGTGTTGTTTTTGACTGTATTAATAGTCATTGACTGTATTAATAGTCAGTGTTGTTTTTGACTGTATTTATAGTCAGTGTTGTTTTTGACTGTATTAATTAATTAATAGTAAGTGTTGTTTTTTACTGTATTAATAGTCAGTGTAGTTTTTGACTGCTACAGTAATATGATCTTTAAACAGAAATCAGAAAAATAAAGTGTGACAGTTGGGCATGCTGTACTGTATTCAGCTTGTGCACATCAAACCACAAACATTTGATTAATCATGTACAGATACATACCTCATCAAAACCATTCTGTTGCTCACAACTTGTACAAATCCATTTGTCCTTTTGCTGAATTTTAATCAAAGCCTTGTGGTCACAGAACCAACAAGAAACTGAAAGTTCTGAATAAACAAGATACCGCCACCTGTTAAAAAAATGTGAAAACAAGTCAGTCATATCTATTCCATTTCACAGACACAATAGAACACACGCACACACAGATATTATATTTGTATTTGTATTAGTATAGGGTTTTACAGCGCTTGCAACTGCTAAGGTCATATGAGCGCGCGAAACACAAGTTGTTTACTTTCGCAGAAGTTCACAGCACGATTGGTTAACTAATTGTAAAATGCTAAAATGTTAAAATATTAAAATTCAGTGTAAATATATTTGTGATTTAAAACAACTCTTATAGGTAACAATAAAAAATTTTAATAGTTTAGTACATTTTCATTTTTCATTTTACAACTTGCCATAAAGGCCAATGGCCTTTATAAAATTCAAAATTCTGCTGGGAACAACGACGGAAA